CCCCCCCTGTGTTAATCGTTCCCCCCCTGTGTTAATGTTCCCCCCCTTTACCTCAGCATGTCGTTGTGTCCCTGAAGACTCTTCACCCCAAATTGCTCCTGTGGGGATTGCCCACAGTATTGAGTATGTTAGTCGCTTTGGAGCGTCTAACAAGTGACATGTAATGTAATGTGTCTGTCTGGCAGCGTCTCTTCGTGCCGAGCTGAACCACCTCCACGCTGCGTCCATAGAGCACCTGAAGCAGATCCACCTTAAAGAGAACTCTTCTTCCAAACGAGAGCTGGAGAAGGCGCTGGAGCACAGCCAGCAGCAGGTACATGTCTCTCCAAAAGTGTCAGTTTAATTCTGCTTTATTTCCTCTAACACCTTCTGACTTCTCCCAGGAACAGGAGCTGATCGTTCGCATCTCAGACATGCAGGCGGAGCTGTGTTCCCGTAGCAACCGCATCACCGACCTGGACCACGAGATCCACTCTCTGAACGAGACCATCAGCACTCTGACCCGAGAGCTGGAGATAAAGGGCAAAGAGGTGCTGAGGGTCCGGAGCGAGGCCAACCATCAGATCAGGTTCAGTGCACAGGAAGATAACATGAATACACTCATAACTCACTCAACTATATGTATGTCCTCAAAGCTGTGACTCAGCAGTCTCTGACCCAGTTTGCAGTAATCCTGCTCTCACATCACATGGGAATAACCAGCTGACAGCTTATAATTAAAAGCATTTGAACCCAAGTGTGCCCCAGTGTGAATCGTATGCTATGATGAATTTATATTTACTTACTTTGTGCATACATGTACTTTGTTTAAAGTACAAACTCGTGTTTTTACATTAAGAAGTTAAAACACCTGAGTGAAATACTGAATTTCCCCTCGGGTATTAATAAAAGTAGACCTCAATCTTAATATTTTAGCTACCGTAATTTTCGGACTATAAGCCGCGCCTTTTTTCCCATTTTTCGATGCTGCGGCTTATATAACGGTGCGGCTAATCTATGGATTTTTACAGCTAACGGCCACTAGGGGACCTCCTAAATCTATGGATTTTACAGGTTACAGTCCACCACCTTTAACTCTATGGGCTCTATGGCCGGTCCGCGCCCCCCACCTTTAAGCGGCGGGCTCCAGCAGGAAAAGCTGGAGGCCGGAAAAGAGTGAGACAGGTAGCGCGCAAAAGTAAAAGTGGAACCGAGAGTGGTACGAGAGACAGAACGAGAGCAAGACAGACAGACATTACGAGAGCGAGACAGTTTGTCCCCGTACCACTGGTTGAAAACCACTGCTGTAGATCACTGCCGGTACGTGCACTGGGAGTTTAAGTTTGAAAGTTGAAAAGTTTGTGTGTCTGAAACGCTATGTGATACAGTACAGTTTACACAGCAGTACATGTTCTGTAGCTACTATTGCACTAAATGCTAACACTTGAATACGTTATGCAAATATGCAACTTGTTTGTTGAAATGTTAATAAATGGGAGCCTCCTCAAACAGCCATCTCTTTCCCGACAATCCCCTCTGTGCACGAACCCTTACATATGGTAATTAAACATTAAAACACCTGCGGCTTATAGTCCAGTGCGGCTTATATATGTACACATCATTCAATTTAGCTGCTGCGGCTTATATTCAGGTGCGCCTTATAGTCCGAAAATTACGGTACTTATTGAAAACAAGCTACAAAATGTAATACCTTGGAAAATACCCTTTAATACTTTTTAATAGCCTTCATTTTCGCTAAATTGATTTATCAACTTGTAATACTTTTTAAGACCCCGCGGACCCCCTGAACATGCATTTCCTTTTCATTTTAACTGGAAGTGAGGAGGAATCATAATTTTTGTTATAACTTTGTTTAGCTAGTTGCCTTGTTAATACACATAATTTGACACATTGGCTATTTTGGTTGTGGTATATATGCATTTCCTTTTAAACGGTTGCCCTTATAATTAATAAACCTCATATGTGTTATGATTCTTTGGAAGATAATTTGTTGTTATCAACACATTTATTACCGTGTATCCTCCTCAGGCAGTAAGGCAGGTCATCCTTGCTGTTGACGGCCTTGTAGCAGGAGGTGATGTAGCTGAAGTTGCTGGTCTTCTGCATGCGGTTGGGTGGAGGGAGGGCCTCGAGGGGGAAGAGGCTGTGGTAGCTGTCCACCTCAGACGGCACATCTACCAAAAACAGATGTGGTTTCAGATGAGAAAAAATAGCCTTGCACACGGAAACCATAACAGATCCAACATTTAAAGAAGGTCACAGCCCAAATAAACAATTAATTGTTTTGACAAGAACTAAATTATTCAATTCCTATATGAATGGTTTTCACACATCTTTACAGTAATGTTATTTTGCAGCTGAAATGATTGACATGAACCCTTTACCTGGGTTCTCCGAGTGGTCAATCTGGGCCATGGTTATTAGATGTCTGTTTATCAACTCCTGGAAGACAAACAGCAGAACATTCATTTCATTTCATTTCAAACCTTTATTTAGACAGATTGGTCCCTTGAGATCATCGATCTCATTTACAAGGGAGACCTGCATCATTTAGTTCCACATGAAACATAAAAACAACATACAAACAAACAACAGAGGATATCATATTTACATATTCAACATTTACAAATACCCAGAGTGTCAGAAAGCATTTCATTTAGACGTGCCTTAAATACATTCAGAGAAATAAAAATGCTCAATTTCAAGGGTGGGGTGCCCTTGAGCTCGGAAAGAGTTTCTTATTCGGATGTGATTGTGCGAACTTGGACTTGGTGTGTGTAACTCCACACGATTAATACACCTACATTACACAAAAACCGGTATGTAATTTAATGTTGTCCATAACATGCCAATATTACATCGAATTTTGTATATAACCCTACTATCAGTAAAAACACCTACACAAAACCGTGACAACGTACCTTTAGTTTAACCGCCAAAAGGTATTTAACTCGGCCGTTTGTGGTACTTGCCATTTTCGAAAATTGTGTTTTGTGTTGCCCAATTTGTATTTTCGTGTCTGGACTCCAATGTTCTCAGACAACGAGAGGGACACCAAGACGGTACGACGACGACGACGGTCCATGTCGGCCCGGGACTGTAAGATTGTTGGTGAGACGACATCAGCTAGAGTTTCTACATCGGTGCAGGCTGACGACCGTTCCACGAGGACCCCATATCCTTCTTTCTTAGAAAACCCTTATTAGTACCTAATAGTCTCCTAAAAACGCCACGAATTTACTCCTAACCAAAAGTCCTGGACAAACGAGAGCAGTGTCACAAGCTAGTTAGTTCGTACGACCCAACGCTTTCTTCAAAGGGAACGGAGTTTCCCCCGGTGTAAGCCCACTTCAGGGCACCTCACCTATAAGGGTTTCCAAACTGCGCCTGTCCTCGCGTCGGAAAGGTAAGGAGCGTGAGAGGTGTACGCCCTAATAATAGGGCTGGTGTACTGTGGTAAAGACGTTTAGGTCGGGTCACAAATAATAAATTACTGTTCAGAACGTGTTGCCGGATGAAAAGGAGGACGAACTTGTCGGGATCGTAGAAAGGTGTCGGGAGAAGTGGCGTCCAAAAGTGGAAAGAGATGATTCAACACGTCCTCCACTGAGCNAAAGGCCTTCAACCTTCCTCAGCTGTTTGATCTGCTGACCTCGAGGCTGGAAACCTATTATGAGGCACGCATCGTTGATGTTGCTATTTGGACGGTGGGAATCATTCCAGCGAGCAAAATTCCTCCCCCAAGATGGCAATATCGCAGCATCGCATATTCAGCAGGTAATGGATACAACAGCTGAAAAAACATAACATGCTATAGGTTTATCACTACATAATCAATACGCACATATGTCACTTGTGTAACAAATTCATGTATCCTTGTTTGACTTGTGATTTTGCAGATTGAGGACAAGAAGTTTGTGGTGAAGGGATCTACCCAAACGTATAATGTAGACATGGATTTGGAGCTGTGTTCTTGCCCTTCAGGACAAACAGGAGCGCCTTGTAAACACCAGGCAGCAGTGATGAAATATTACAGCTGTTTGTCACACTCTTTTCTACCGATAAACCCAGAGATGAGAGCAGAGCTGATGAAACTGACCTCGGCAGGTAAAGTCAATATTTTAACAATAACTGGTGTAATGAGACTGCCAACATTTCATGTTTTGATTATAAAATAAAGGATATACACTGTTTATTTTTAAATGTATTTTTATCCCTTAAAGAGCATCTTGCAGGTTTCTATTTTTTCTACATTTATGCTTAAACTTGCTTGAAAATTACAATTAAAAAAGTGAATGCAGGATTTGATATGTGTTACGAGACATAAGGGCAGGAATTCAGAGGNTCAGTCGTCACACAGAGAGCGTCCTCTGGCAGAGTGAAGGACCAAGAGTAGAAGTTTGGATATCTAAACACAGAGAGAGGGGAGGAGGGAGGGGGGGAGCTTGGTGATGATGGAGGAGCATTCTGGATAGTTCAGGGAGATGGGGGCCGTATCTATATTTGAAGGTCTACGGTTGGGTGACATAGAGTGTTAACTAAAACATGCACAATCTTCTTAATAAGGAATGTTCCCACGCTTAGCTAAGAAGTGTGAGAAGTAGTAAATATAGATAAACATTAGCAAATAAGAATCACACAATTATATTATTAAAGTATAAAACTATATTTTGCCAATCGGGCTGGGGTATATCCAAATAGTTTTCCTGCTATATATTAACATTAAAATACAGTATATCATCAGATGTTAAATGTAAGCAAAGACACGGTCGAATAGTGAAAGCATGAAAGTATTTTTTTATGGTTAACATACGACCACATTTTGATATGCATGTATGATAACAAAGACTTTCATTTCATTTCATTTCAAACCTTTATTTAGACAGATTGGTCCCTTGAGATCATCGATCTCATTTACAAGGGAGACCTGCATCATTTAGTTCCACATGAAACATAAAAACAACATACAAACAACAGAGGATATCATATTTACATATTCAACATTTACAAATACCCAGAGTGTCAGAAAGCATTTCATTTAGACGTGCCTTAAATACATTCAGAGAAATAAAAATGCTCAATTTCAATTTTGCCTGTAGACTGTTCCAAGCAAGTGGAGCTGCGCACATAAAAGCTGTCTCACCTAAGACAGTCCTTACTCTTGGCACATCTAACAAGACTATATCCTGCGATCGCAGACAATAGCTGCTTGCAACTTTCTGCTTTATCAATGAACAGATATAATACGGGAGTTTGCCCAACATAGCTTTATAGATAAAAGTGTACCAGTGACTGAGCCTCCGTACAGTGAGTGATGGTAAACCTGCCTTGGTATACAGTGTACAGTGATGAGTAAGTGCTTTACAATCACATCAGACATGACGGACAAGAGAAGATATCAAGAAAAAGAACAGGTGGGTGATTGGGAAATACCTGTCGGAGTTCATCAGCCATGAAGAAGGACGGGGCGTTAGCTTTCGGCTGCATGTAAGCCACGTTGGGCGCAGTGGGGGGATAGATATGATAGGTAGGAAACACCTGCAAAGAAACCAGAAACAACAGCTTCCTATTTATCGAGAAATGAAAACCAATGTGCTCAGATGTTGTTCTTTTGGTCCAAAATTATGATTTCCTAGCTACGCAAATGAATCTCATGAAATAAAACTCTAATCAAGATTTTAAAGAAGTGCTAAAAGTGTATACAACGCCAGTTTAAACCGGCTAATACCCGTTATTGGCTGCAATGAGGCTGTTTTCTTTTAGACTGTGGTGATTGCATGAAAAAAGGGCAGCTTACAGACAGTATGCGTCACGTGCAGTCAACACTCTTGCTTCTCAAGAAACTGAGATGTTTTAAATGCAGTTGTTTACACACACCATTTTTTAGATATTTTATAATGTGGTGCTGCATCGTTAAGTACTCTTCTTGTGTATTCTCAGCTTTAGTCTGGCGGTATTACCCAAAATAGACAGAAGGGCCCTGTGTGCAGCACATACCATCCCAGACATTGGCGCGGGGGTGTTATCTGTGTAGAAGTAGGTCGTCCCCCCTACAGTCTCTTTCTGGATCATGTGAGGGCCCTGGTCAGCTGCACTGGTGGGCACCATGTAGTTGGCAGGGTTTGGGGTGTGACTGCGCCGGCGGGGAGCAGGTGAGGTGTGCGGTGTAATTTTTGGGGAGTGAAGAGGAGACGACCCCGCGGACAGAGACATGCCTATAATTGGAGACAGGAGAGTTTGTTTTTATTTCAACAGTAGCGCATGTGGAGATGTAAACAGAAGGGAATTCCCGAACCAGCAAAAGATTGGAAAACAAAACTAAGCCAAGTAGAAAGTGGAGCAAAGCAGATACAACAGGGGGATTTGTCTCTAAACAATGCTCTGAAAAAACCCTCACCTGGAGCCAGTGCAGCAGCTGTGGAGCTGTTGAGGCCAGGATGTGGGAAGAGAGGAGAGGGGAAGGCCGGGACAGAGGATTGGGCCATGGGGGCCTGAGCCATGGGGGCTTGAGCCATGGGGGCCTGAGCCATGGGGGCCTGAGCCATGGAGGCCATTCGTGGAGCTCCCTTAGGGATGAACTCACTTGCTGCTGGGTTAGGAGCCTGGTGGTTAAAGAAAACACATGCAAGAGTTATAACAAATGTGCCACTCCTGTAAAACGAAATAAAGACTAAGAAGAACATTAAATGTATCCTAGTAAAATCTGAAGTACTTGCTCATAGAAAAGCACAATACTGAACATTAAAAATAACTTTCTTGTTTTGAAAAGGATGCTTGTGTGCTCACCTTTCTCCTTTGGGAAATGCTAAGAGCACCAAAATCACTGAACAGTGAGGATGTCGGGGAGTTCACCGGATCTGTGGAGGCCAAAGAGTGTGAGAGTTTGGCAATGGCCCTTCAAACATCTGATGAATGAGTATTACAATTCTCACAGATTGCTATATCAGTCTCACCATGAGTGCTGTGGCTGAAGTTCTTGGCACCATCGTTGAGGAGACTAGGAGAGCTGCTGCTGGTAGTCATTCGCTAAAGACAACAGCAACAAGAAAAGATGTGTAACAGAAGACACTGATGAAATGTGTGAGTTATGATGTTTAACTTGTTTTTTTAATTACTAAACTAACTAACATACTAAACTAACATACGTTTTCAAACCAGTTTTTTCACACTGACAAAACAATGTACAGAACAGCACCCTCTCATACCTGCATCATTGAGTATTTAGTCTCTGCTGGGCTCCCAAACCCATTGACCCCGATAAAGCTGCTGCTGAAGTAAGAGTTTGTGAGATTGGCATCGTTCAGAGACGCACCCTCCATACCTGGGACTGTGGATGACAGAAACCAAAGTTTAGCAAATAGTAACTGTAGCAAGATAGTTTAAACAGAATTGAAGGTTAAGCATGTGTGTTAATGTCAGCACTATTACGTGTTTGCTAAGCCACAATCACAGAGCTGATTTAAAATACAAATGGAAACATTTCTACAACTGCAGAGTGAGACACTACTACAATATCCACTTAGTATCATTTAATAACAAACGTTTTGCAACACGTACTGGTTTCAATGGCTCCGGGTTTAATGGGACGTAGTGAGCGTGCATGTGAGTTACTTGCGGTTTGTTTACGTTGGGAAACAACGCTAAACCCCGTGAAGAGCTAACGTGGCTAGGCTAATTTTACCAAACATTACACTTCAGTTACATCCCAACATCAACACTATAGTTCACAATCATCCAAGTGAAACAGAATAACGGGACTAGTACTAACACTGAAGACGCCTATCTCTATACACAACCAAACGCATTCAAGTTGAATATAGCGTTCATTTCAACGCTAGTTGAGCTAATGCTAAGGTAGCTGTAGTGTCGCGGGTTTCTGCCCACTCACAGCTGTCACACACAAACACCAGGCCTCCTCCGTGAGAACAGCATGGCTAATGTTACACCTGGTTACAAAACATAAAAACCACCTGAAGACAGAGCTAACGTTATCCATAAGGAAGCCTTAGTGTAAAACATGTGCCAGCTACACACTGAAGGCTTTGGATAATGTTTTGCGGGCAAAGGTAACCCACGTTGTTTTGGGGTGAAGAGGCCTCATTGAATCCTCGGGCTAGATTTTAACAAAGCCCAACAAGGCCCAAAAGTAAAGTCGCAGCCAGTCGCCCCGTGTGAGGCCAGTTTACTCACTGGTTAAAAGCTGCCCCTCCAGAGACGTGCCTGCAGGCCCCATTGTTTCGCTTTTCTTGGACACACCGGTCCCCCCAGGGCAGGCAGCTGCGGGTCCGCCGAGGGGAAACCCCGTCCCGCCGGCCATGGACAGCGGGACGGGGCTCCCGCCGCCGTGCATAGGCAGGCTTCCCATGGACGGCTCATCGTGCAGGAACTGACACTCTTCTCCATAAAAGCAGGTTTTGTCTTTTGCGTAATATCGGCAAAACTTCACCTTGACATTGGGTATCCCGGCAACCCCTAGCGGAGCAGCTGAAGCTGGGAGTCCACTGTTCATGGCACCGCTGCTGCCGCTGCTGCCGGAAGACTCGCACACATAGAGACGCAGAGAGCTAGCCACTTAGCCTGCTAGCCTGCACACAGTTCCCCCCTTAAAGGAGCGGATTAATGTCACTGGAGCTGGTGAAGAACGTTAAAACGCTGCAGTACTCACATTATAAGGCTAAGATGCTTTTTGGTTTGAGAAATTATCTCTGCATGCGTCAAATCCTGGTCGTCGTTGTTGTCGCTATCCATGCAGCTGCCTTCTTTGCAAAGTAGCCTGTTGTTTATTTTTCTCGCAGACACTAGACAGGCTAGGGAGCAGCTAGCATTGCTTTGCATTGTGGGTAGAGCCTTTGGCAGAGTTTACATTCTGAAAATGAACGTCGCAAATTCAACTTGCAGCACTGTGATATTGTGAATCAAAAGAATAATGTCGCTAAATGATCCATGTTTGCAGAATGAAAAATGCTATTCAGTCTTAATGAATATTAACCTATGTTAAATTGTTGCAACAAAGTTTATTTATTTTATCTAAACATTGAAAAACAATACAGTAAATATGTGAGAGGCAAATGTATATGGCATTTTCATTTGAATTAATATATAAACAGCATATTGTACTCAAAATGATAATTACAGTAACCCTATGTATATTTTCTTTAACTAAGAATTTAAAGACGACTCTATAACGACTTCAATGCACATTATTGTATTTTGTATTGGCTCCCATAATGGCATAAAATCCCTTGTGAGATATTAAATTGTTCCCGTCTCATTATTTATGATTATCCTTCGGTGTTTGTTATTTAATAACTGTTTGCATGCTATATATTTGTGACAGGCGTGGCGGACAACGTCATCGCTTTCTGTTAACTTCCTCTATTTAAAAAGGTACACGCGCACATCATAGCATCAAAGCCTCGCGTGTGACCCGGGAGTATGTGACAGTGACAGAGAGGGAGAGCATCAAAGCGGAGGCACACCAACATGATTGCTGGTGAGTCAGAAAATACTGTTATTGTGAGCGTTGCTGAGTAAATAAAAAAAGGCCAGGATGCAATAAGGAATATAAATGTTGCTGTTTAGCCAAAATATGTAGTCCGAAATCATTTTCAGTTTTTTTTAGTAGGCCTATATTGCATTTTTGTATTTAACCTATGTAAAATGGTTTGTTACCTTAAAAAACGAAATGTTTACTCATGAAATATAATTTAATGTCGACATTCACCTGTAGTTTAAAATTCTAGTAAGAGGAACCTAGATCATGCTCCCTTCATGAGAGACGGACACATCATAATTCATCATTCAAAGCTACACAATTAATGCAATCATTAACTCTGTTATTAAAACACAGTTAAGCCCTTACATCATTGTATCCCTGTAATAACCAACTAAAACTCCAAGTAATCAGGTTTTAAATTATGTTTACAAATGTGTGTTTAAAAGAAATATGTATTGTGTCCTTTATTAGCACTTTGAATATTAACATATAGTAGGCCTACAGGTAATAATAAGCACATTAATACAAAATAAAAAAGATGCAATTAAGAACATATAAAGACTTTACAAAACTTAAAACTGCATATAGGGATTGATTCACGTAAACACCTGTGTATATAAGGGACATAAACAATCATTTTGCAATAAATACTAATCAATAAACCACTGGAAGTACTTAACATAAGCAATGTTGTTTTTTGTTTCTTTGATTGCATTTCTCTTGTATTCATTTAGAATGGCCGAAAGCTATTTAGTGAGTATACAAATAGATTACATTTTTTATTTTTGATCAAGGTATCGTTGTGCTGTGTGCTGTCAGGCTGCTCTGCTCTGATGGTGTCGCAGCGCAGAATCAGGCCTGCGTGCCAAACCATGAGGTACGAGCAGCAAAGGTCCTATCTGTGTTTCAACTGAGCAATTCAGTTAAATATATGAATTTGTTTTTCTGGCTTACTATATATTTATGAAGCATTATTGAGTCAAGGCAAAAAGTTATTAACGTGAATGATGTACGGACTGAGGGTTGGTAATATATTGAATTTACATAACAGGTTTTACAGATCATTATATCATGTAATGTTTATTTACGCCAGTTGCTGCTAGAATCTCATTGCCTATTGTCTTCCAAACATAAGGCCTAGCAGAATGAACAAAGATTTGTTGATTGTTTCTTAAATGTGGACTCACTTAGAAACCGAAAAAAACAAACTGCAGAGCAACAAGAGGTTGTGAAACATCGAAAAGGGAAATGGCAAAAACTTGACCAAAATTAAAAGTTGTATTTCTTCTTATCAGTTAGACATCTGTCAGTTTGTGTCATTTTCATAAAATATTTTTAAGAAACACAACCGAGACAAGGGGTTGAAGTCACAGAAGAGGCATCATTCTAAGACCTCAATGAACCTATTAATGTTTAATGCCTTAAGGCACATGTGTCAAACTCAAGGCCCGGGGGCCAAATCAGGCCCTTGGTGGATTTAATTTCGGCCCGCAGGATAATTTCTAATTACTATTAGATCTGGCCCGCCGGTATATTGCACGCACACCTTCACTCCACCCTGAGGGTCTCCTCAGCTCAGAGCCTGAGCCCAAACATGGATGAACTTGCACCCATGATGAGATGCCAAGTATCTGAACTAGCATCACAGAGCAGCACACTGAGTTTAATGGATGTTTCCTTCTGCACTTTTTCTCTCACGACAACAGGGCATGTTTGTTTTGTTCTTTGAGGGAAATAGTTTTGTTGAAGCTGTTGTTGGCCTGTGGGAAAATGTAATCATAAGAAATGACTCTGGAAAAACTGCAGATAGAGCCATAAGAAATGAATGCAACTGATTATTTAATGTTTAATGTTGTTTTTATAGGCAATCATTTAAGCTTTGTTAGTTCCAGGTTGGGTTCCAGGTTTAATATGTGCAACAAGTTCATTTCAATAAGTTCTGCAATAAACATTGAACCAGTCCGGCCCTCGACTAGTACCCATTTTTTAATTTTGGGCCACTGTGTATTTGAGTTTGACCCCCCTGCCTTAAGGGGACCGTTCAAAAATCCTATTTGTTCTTCTTACCTGTAGTGCTTTTTATCAATCTATATTGTTTTAGTGTGAGTTGCTAAGGGAGGTAGAAATTGGCTGTAGAGATGTCTCCCTTCACTCAAATATACACACAAGTTTGTAAAGCTGAGTTGAAAAACGGATCTATCCACAGACCTTTATGTGAACGACTGTTTGAGATGTTAACATTAATGTGAACTGTCCCTTTGAAATGACAGGTATAAAGTCAGCTTTTCTTGTAAATGTGTTTTTCACACCTATACACAAAATCTTGATCGTGCTACCACACCAAAAGCTACTTAACGCAGGGTTATTGAATGTCAACCCTTGTCTTTTAGGTGGAGTGTTTTGCACCGACGGACCATCTGAATGCGTCTGGGTTAGTCAGCGTTGAGGTGTGTGTCGGTAAGAAACTCATCATCTCCCTGCAGCACTTCTCCGAACAGCCTGTTTGCAGCTGGATCCGAGGAGCAGACACAGTAATCACAGTGTAAGTGAATTATTAACTGTTCTCACTTTTAATATGTATTTTTATATATTGAATGTTTTATTTAAACCTCATCAGAAATGGGAGTGAGTCCCTGGTCCTACCCAAGCTTTCTGAGGCTGATTCAGGGGAGTACACGCTGAGATGTGAAACCAGCGACGGGGACAGTTCCTCAATGAATGTGTCTCTGAAAGTATTCATGAGTGAGTTCCAGCCCTCTCATATCTCCTCATCTCTGCTATGCTAAGTCAGACTGCCAACAAACACTGTGATACTGAAAACTAAGTAAAATATTTGTTTTTGTAGATCGTCCCTCAAAACCAAAGCTGACAATTGACAAAGATGATATCCGATTTATATCCCCTTCTTTGACATGCATCT